TCAGCGTCACATCTGTACTGAACTGTTTCAGGATATCATCAGCGTCACATCTGTACTGACCTGTTTCAGGTTATCATCAGCGTCACATCTGTTCTGACCTATTTCAGATTATCATCAGCGTCACATCTGTACTGACCTACTTCAGGTTATCATCAGCGTCACGTCTGTACTGACTAACTTCAGGTTATCATCAGTGTCACATCTGTACTGACCTGTTTCAGGATATCATCAGCGTCACATCTCTACTGACCTACTTCAGGTTATCATCAGCGTCACATCTGTACTGACCTATTTAAGTTTATCATCAGTGTCACATCTGTACTGACTAACTTCAGGTTATCATCAGTGTCACATCTGTACAGACCTGTTTCAGGATATCATCAGCGTCACATCTATACAGAAGTACTTCAGGTTATCATCAACGTCACATCTGTACTGACCTATTTAAGTTTATCATCAGTGTCACATCTGTACTGACTAACTTCAGGTTATCATCAGTGTCACATCTGTACAGACCTGTTTCAGGATATCATCAGCGTCACATCTATACAGAAGTACTTCAGGTTATCATCAACGTCACATCTGTACTAACCTCTTTCAGGTTATCATCAGTGTCACAACTGTACTGACCTACTTCAGGTTATCATCAGTGTCACATCTGTACTGTACTACTTCAGGTTAACATCAGCGTCACATCTGTACTGACCTATTTCAGGTTATCATCAGTGTCACAACTGTACTAACCTCTTTCAGGTTATCGTCAGTGTCACAACTGTACTGACCTACTTCAGGTTATCATCAGTGTCACATCTGTACTGACCTACTACAGGTTAACATCAGCGTCATATCTGTACTGACCTGTTTCAGGTTATCATCAGCGTGAGATTTGTACTGACCTGTTTAAGGTTATCATCAGCGTCACATCTGTACTGACCTGTTTCAGGATATCATCAGCGTCACATCTGTACTGACTAACTTCAGGTTATCATCAGTGTCACATCTGTACAGACCTGTTTCAGGATATCATCAGTGTCACATCTATGCAGACCTGTTTCAGGTTATCATCAGCGTCACATCTGTTCTGACCTGTTTCAGGTTATCATCAGCGTCACATCTGTTCTGACCTGTTTCAGGTTATCATCAACGTCACATCTGTACTGATCTGTTCCAGGTTATCATCAGCGTCACATCTGTACTGACCTGTTTCAGGTTATCATCAGCGTCACATCTGTACTGACCTGTTTAAGGTTATCATCAGCGTCACATCTGTACTGACCTGTTTCAGGTTATCATCAGTGTCACATCTGTACTGACCTGTTTCAGGTTATCATCAGCGTCACATCTGCACTGACCTGTTTCAGGTTATCATCAGCGTCACATCTGTACTGACCTACTTCAGGTTATCATCAGCGTCACATCTGTACTTACTTACTTCAGGTTATCATCAGTGTTACATCTGTACAGACCTGTTTCGGGATATCATCAGCGTCACATCTGTACAGAACTACTTCAGGGTATCATCAGTGTCACATCTGTACTGACCTGTTTCAGGTTATCATCAGGACCACATCTGTACTGACCTACTTCAGGATATCATCAGTGTCACATCTGTACTGACCTACTTCAGGTTATCATCAGCGTCACATCTGTTCTGACCTGCTTCAGGTTATCATCAGCGTCACATCTGTACTGACCTGTTTCAAGTTATCGTCAATGTCACAACTGTACTGACCTACTTCAGGTTATCATCAGCGTCACATCTGTACAGACCTGTTTCAGGTTATCATCAGTGTCACATCTGTACTGTACTACTTCAGGTTATCATCAGCGTCACATCTGTACTGACCTGTTTCAGGTTATCATCAGCGTCACATCTTTACTGACCTACTTCAGGTTATCATCAGTGTCACATCTGTACTGACCTACGTCAGGTTATCATCAGCGTCACATCTTTACTGACCTGTTTCAGGTTATCATCAGCGTCACATCTGTACTGAACTGTTTCAGGATATCATCAGCGTCACATCTGTACTGACCTGTTTCAGGTTATCATCAGCGTCACATCTGTACTGACCTGTTTCAGATTATCATCAGCGTCACATCTGTACTGACCTACTTCAGGTTATCATCAGCGTCACATCTGTACTGACTAACTTCAGGTTATCATCAGTGTCACATCTGTACTGACCTGTTTCAGGATATCATCAGCGTCACATCTATACAGAAGTACTTCAGGTTATCATCAGTGTCACAGCTGTACTGACCTATTTAAGTTTATCATCAACGTCACATCTGTACTAACCTCTTTCAGGTTATCGTCAGTGTCACAACTGTACTGACCTACTTCAGGTTATCATCAGTGTCACATCTGTACTGTACTACTTCAGGTTATCATCAGCGTCACATCTGTACTGACCTGTTTCAGGATATCATCAGCGTCACATCTGTACTGACCTGTTTCAGGTTATCATCAGCGTCACATCTGTACTGACCTGTTTCAGGCTATCATCAGCGTCACATCTGTTCTGACCTGTTTCAGGTTATCATCAGCGTCACATCTTTACTGACCTGTTTCAGGATATCATCAGTGTCACGTCTGTACTGACCTACTTCAGGTTATCATCAGTGTCACATCTGTACTGACCTGTTTCAGGTTATCATCAGCGTCACATCTGTACTGACCTACTTCAGGTTATCATCAGCGTCACATCTGTACTGACCTACTTCAGGTTATCATCAGCGTCACATCTGTACAGACCTACTTCAGGTTATCATCAGCGTCACATCTGTACTGAACTGTTTCAGGATATCATCAGCGTCACATCTGTACTGACCTGTTTCAGGTTATCATCAGCGTCACATCTGTACTGACCTGTTTCAGATTATCATCAGCGTCACATCTGTACCGACCTACTTCTGGTTATCATCAGTGTCACATCTGTACAGAACTTCTTCAGGTTATCATCAGTGTCACATCTGTACTGACCTGTTAAAGGTTATAATCAGCACCACATCTCTACTGAACTACTTCAGGTTATCATCAGCGTCACATCTGTACTGACCTACTTCACGTTATCATCAGCGTCACATCTGTACTGACCTACTTCAGGTTATCATCAGCGTCACATCTGTACAGAGCTACTTCAGGTTATCATCAGCGTCACATCTGTACTGAACTGTTTCAGGATATCATCAGCGTCACATCTGTACTGACCTGTTTCAGGTTATCATCAGCGTCACATCTGTACTGACCTGTTTCAGATTATCATCAGCGTCACATCTGTACCAACCTACTTCAGGTTATCATCAGCGTCACATCTGTACTGACCTTCTTCAGGTTACCATCAGCGTCACATCTGTACTAACCTGTTTCAGGTTATCGTCAGTGTCACAACTCTACTGACCTACTTCAGGTTATCATCAGCGTCACATCTGTACCGACCTGTTTCAGGTTATCATCAGCGTCACATCTGTAGTGAACTACTTCAGGTTATCATCAGCGTCACATCTGTACTGACCTGTTTCAGGTTATCATCAGCGTCACATCTGTACTGACCTGTTTCAGGATATCATCAGCGTCACGTCTGTAGTGAACTACTTCAGGTTATCATCAGCGTCACATCTGTACTAACCTGTTTCAGGTTATCATCAGTGTCACGTCTGTACTGACCTACTTCAGGTTATCATCAGCGTCACATCTGTACCGACCTGTTTCAGGTTATCATCAGCGTCACATCTGTAGTGAACTACTTCAGGTTATCATCAGCGTCACATCTGTACTGACCTGTTTCAGGTTATCATCAGCGTCACATCTGTACTGACCTGTTTCAGGTTATCATCAGCGTCACATTTATACTGACCTACTTCAGGTTATCATCAGTGTCACATCTGTACTGACCTACTTCAGGTTATCATCAGTGTCACATCTGTACGGTACTACTTCAGGTTATCATCAGCGTCACATCTGTACTGACCTGTTTCAGGTTATCATCAGCGTCACATCTGTACTGACCTGTTTCAGGATATCATCAGCGTCACATCTGCTCTGACCTGTTTCAGGTTATCATCAGCGTCACATCTTTACTGACCTGTTTCAGGTTATCATCAGCGTCACATTTATACTGACCTACTTCAGGTTATCATCAGCGTCACATCTGTACATACCTACTTCAGGTTATCATCAGCGTCACATCTGTACTGACCTACTTCAGGTTATCATCAGCGTCACATCTGTACTGACCTACTTCAGGTTATCATCAGCGTCACATCTGTACTGACCTGTTTAAGGTTATCATCAGCGTCACATTTATACTGACCTACTTCAGGTTGTCATCAGTGTCACATCTGTACTGCCCTTTTACAGGATATCATCAGCGTCACATTTGTACAGAACTGCTTCAGGTTATCATCAGTGTCACATCTGTACTGACGTGTTTATGGTTATCATCAACGTCACATCTGTACTGTACTACTTAAGGTTATCATCAGCGTCACATCTGTACTGACCTACTTCAGGTTATCATCAGTGTCACAACTGTACTGACCTACTTCAGGTTATCATCAACGTCACATCTGTTCTGACCTGTTTCAGGTTATCATCAGCGTCCCATCTTTACTGACCTGTTTAAGGTTATCATCAGTGTTACATCTGTTCTGACCTGTTTCAGGTTATCATCAGCGTCACATCTTTAGTGACCTGTTTAAGGTTATCATCAGTGTCACATCTGTTCTGACCTGTTTCAGGTTATAATCAGTGTCACATCTGTACTGTACTACTTGAGGTTATCATCAGCGTCACATCTGTACTGACCTGTTGCAGGTTATCATCAGCGTCACATCTGTTCTGACCTGTTTCAGGTTATCATCAGCGTCCCATCTTTACTGACCTGTTTAAGGTTATTATCAGTGTCACATCTGTTCTGACCTGTTTCAAGTTATCATCAGCGTCACATCTGTACTGACCTGTTTCAGGTTATCATCAGCGTCACATCTGTACTGACCTGTTTCCGGGTTATCTTCAACGGCTCCATCATCACCTGCCACAAGACGCTCTCAGACAAAGTAGGCGTGGTTAGAGAACCGTAGTAGTAATAAAAGTCACGTGATGGAGGCAGCAATTGGTCTGGGTTAAAGCTCACTTTCAGGCCACCTGGAATATATCATTTATGGGTTGACTGCATTGTAATGATACACAAGCAATTAGCGCTAAGATATGTTACTGGCCATGATTGAACGGGGCGTGCTAAAGGGTGGTGTGTGCACATGGAGGGCCAAATTTTCTACGGCTCCACACGGAGGGCCACGTTGTCTACGGCTCCACATGGAGGGCCTCGTTGTCTACGAATTGTGGAGCCGTAAACAACGTGGCCCACCATGTGGAGCCGTAGTCAACGTGGCCCTCCATGTGGAGCCACGTTGTTTACGGCTCCACAATTTGTCCCTTAGGTATGTCAGAAACCTACGAAGAACATTTCTAATGCGCTGAAGTACATAATTCAACAAAAAATACTAACATCTTTTATGATACAGTTATTATTTGATTTCATAATGTTGATAAAATTGGCATTTGGATCAAAATCAGTCAGATATTTCTGCATATATCTTAATCATAAATCAGAAAAACGTTCACACTTAAGGAGTACATGAAATTCATCTTCAATAACATTTTTTGTCATTCAGTTTACAAAATGGACATAATCACTCATTGTAACTAACTTTATTGTGTCTTCCAGTTTCAACTGCTAAATTAAAATGACCACATCTCAATTTGGACAATGCAGATCTGAGATGTAAAGGAATATCAAAATTTAAATATCTTTCCACATTTAAAGGTGTTTTAAACTGGGAGTAATAAAAACATTTATTAGAATTTTGAATTGAGGTAAACCAACATTGTTTAAGATTATCCGAAAGTCTCTGCTTAAATAAAGATATGAAATAAATAACATTGCCAGCATCCTGGCTGATCCATGCATAGCCAAAACCATACTTAAATAAAATAATTCTGACACAGGTTGTCCAAGTAGCGCGGCCAGCAGCATCTAAGGACTAGAGCATCATATAACAAAGGTTTGGCAGTCTATTATCAAAAGAGAGACGTTCTCAGGAGGGACTGACGCACGTGACAATGGCAGGTTGCAGGCTGATGCTACGTTTACAGCAGACAGATTTGACGTATTGGATGCGGAAGTCTCCGTGTTGCCATGCCAACAAAATACACCTCGGGACCTTACCGCAGCAGTAATGTGTTAACGGGACTCGGTGTTGGCCATTTGGTGACGTCCAGGCACGGTGACGCCGTAACAGAAGGTGGGTCGGATCCAGGCGTCTGAGACCAGTTGTCCAGAATTATAACACTGGATCTCATGCTGCACTTCTGAGGCACGACTTCTCCAACAACATTAGCGCGGGTGTTTTGCAGTGAAATACATTTAATCTGACATTGACGCCATGTAACATTTGTGGTACAGGTATCTCGACAGGCACTATGACCGTGATTGGCCTTGCTAATACTAGCACTTTGCCAGGGCTCACCCCTGATTGGCCTTGCTAATACTAGCACTTGACGAGGGCTCACTGTGATTGGCCTTGCTAATACTAGCATTTTGCCAGGGCTCACTGTGATTGGCCTTGCTAATACTAGCACTTGACCAGGGCTCACTGTGATTGGCCTTTCTAATACTAACACTTGACCAGGGCTCACTGTGATTGGCCTTGCTAATACTAGCACTTGACCAGGGCTCACTGTGATTGGCCTTGCTAATACTAGCACTTGACCAGGGCTCACTGTGATTGGCCTTGCTAATACTAGCACTTGACCAGGGCTCACTGTGATTGGCCTTGCTAATACTAGCACTTGACCAGGGCTCACTGTGATTGGCCTTGCTAATACTAGCACTTGACCAGGGCTCACTGTGATTGGCCTTGCTAATACTAGCAGTTGACCAGGGCTCATCCCAGATTGGCCTTGCTAATACTAGCACTTGACCAGGGCTCACCCCAGATTGGCCTTGCTGATACCAGCACTTGACCAGCACACAAGTCACTGTACAGGATATACAGTACAAATAGAAATTATTGAGAATTTAAGAGTGTAAATTTTAAAAAGATATTTCACTCATTACTCATGTTTTAAATGTGAATATTAGCAGAACATAACTCCAGATTTAAAGACAGGTTACGTGAACAGTTAGTATTTTGTCAAGTCACCATGGGCAGCAATGCAGGCTTCAATGCGGCGGGGCATACTGCTGATCAAATAAGTAAGAAAGTCGTGGTCCATGCTGTCCCAATATCGGACCACCTCTTCTTTCATTTCAGCAATTTTTGTCAGATTTTTCTTATTGACACTTTCTTTCATAAGTCCCTAAACATTTTCTATTGGATTTAGGTCAGGGCTACAGATATGCCACCCCACACGTTTAATTTCGGTCTGTACTTTGGGCGCTGATACAAAGGTTTTTCAGTTTGTTTGGTCCAGAATATGCAGTGTATTAGGAAACAGCCACACAGAACTTTCATCTGAGAAAATCACATTGTCCCAGTTAAAATTTCTATGCTGTAAGCACGAGTTCAACCATAGCTCCTTTTGTTCAGGTTTCATGATCAGTGATGGAATTCCTCGACTTTTCTGCCAACCCATTGCATTCAGCTCAGTTCTAATGGTCTCCTTACAGACAGCCACAGTTCTTCTATCAATAATATCCAGCCTTACGTTTTCTAAACGCATTCGTTTGTTTTTAGAAACAAGAATACCAAGCCGCCTCCTGTCACCGACTGTTAATTTTCTGGGCCTACCTGCACCTCCCTGGTGCTCAATGCCATATCCATTTGCTAAACAGTGGACAAAGGGATGCCTGTTCTACTTGAAATCACTTTAGTTGATCTGATGTCCTTGTTATAATACTCTAAAATCAAATTCCTCTTCTCTAAATCATCCATACGGAGGATCACTGAAAATGTCGTCTGCTAGCAAGTAAACAAAGGGGGATAACTCTTCTAAAACTAATGAAAAAGGATTAACGGCGTTGTCTCTCTTGAATGAAACTAAGCACTTGATAGCTGGTCAAGGCTGTTTATACTAGAAATCCAATTAAACATATTCCTAAAATTCTCAATAATTTCTGGTCATACTATACTTGTTTTAAACAGGACGACTTTAGCCACTATAGCGTTGCATGAATTTAGATCTGATAGTAATGTAAATACAGAAACACATAGGATTATATCTGCTGGACAGAGTCGTCTTCAACAACCCAGATCAACCTTCCTGTATCTAACATGTGGAGAACGAGGGGGAACAGACTGTGGTGTTATATGGTGGTGTTGTAATAGATACAGTACGCTCTTAGATGCCGTTTGCCTTTCTGATTTTCTGGCGATTTACTCGCAATAGATGTGCGGTTGTTGATTAATCTCAAAAGTGTTGTATTAAAAAGATGAAGGTGTGGTTACCGCTACTGAAGTCATTAGCTGACCTAGGCCGGCCCGATGTTTGGCCGTAAAGACACATTACTACACGTACCGGTCACGGACGACACGAGGAGGCGACTCACCACAGTTAGCTGACCTAGGCCGGCCCGATGTTTGGCCGTAAAGACACATTACTACACGTACCGGTCACGGACGACACGAGGAGGCGACTCACCACAGTTAGCTGACCTGGGTCGGCCCGATGTTTGGCCGTAAAGACACATTACTACACGTACCGGTCACGGACGACAACAGGAGGCGACTCACCACAGTTAGCTGACCTGGGTCGGCCCGATGTTTGGCCGTAAAGACACATTACTACACGTACCGGTCACGGACGACACGAGGAGGCGACTCACCACAATTGCCAAACCCAGACGCGAAGTGAGGGCATGCTCTCTGATTTGCCATTCTGTTCATCATCCGGCTTTTCATTCTTCTTGTACACGGTGATTCAGTACACACGTGATCTGAAACAAGTACTTGACTCTAGTACAGGGATCATCATACACAGCCCATGTATAGCAAGAACTCGCAGGGTATGTCATGGTATGTCAGATATGTCACGGTATGTCAGATGTGTCACAGTATGTCAGTAACTGTAACAGGGAGACATAATACACTGTACTGTAATAGACTATGTTTATTAATATTGCTATAGCAAAGGCATACCAGTAGTTGAAGATGAATACCATATAACTGTCAGTGTTTAAAAGATGCATAAGATTGAATGTTTTTCGCCATACCTATATATTGGTAACCCGTGTAAGGATAGTTTTGTTAGGCTTGTGTCATGTAAGGATGATGTTTTGATAAGTATTGCTAGGTTTTCTGATAAAAACTTTCAAAAGATCCACATGTTTTCTTAAGAAGGGTATATTATGTCTGTACATTGTGCAAAAATGTTTCCATAGTTTTCAAAACAATAATGTATGACTGTTACTGGTTTTACCAGCATCAAATATATTGTAAAATTATTCTGTAAAGTGGGCCATGGCCGTATATACTGAAATAAAAACTGTCTATCTGTCAGATGTGTCATGGTGTGGCAGATGTTTCACAGTATGTCAGATGTGTCACAGTATGTCAGATGTGTCACAGGTGAGGTGAGGTGAAATTGGGTTTAACGTCGTACTTGAGAATATTTCGCTCATATGACGACGTGCATGCGTGTGTATGTGTATGTGCGGCTGCTTGTACTAGCCCAGACTAAAGCTGGTTTTAAAGTGCTAGCCCACTGAGATACCATGCCGCAGTGAAGCATGAATACCACACTCAGACACATTATACTGACTCCGAGCCGACCAGTCCTTGCTGTACCCATTAATGCCGAGCGCCAGGCAGGGACCAACAAGTACCTTATTTTAACGTATTTTGGTACGACGCGGTCGGGGATCGAACCCGCGACCTTCCGCTCTCCGGGCGGACACTCTAACCACTACACTCCGGAGGCGGTAGGTGTGTTACAGTATCTCAGATGTGTCACAGTATGTCAGATGTGTCACAGTATCTCAGATGTGTCTCCTTTTGTCAGATTTGTCACGGTATGTCAGATGTGTCACAGTATGCAAGATGTGTCACAGTATGTCAGAAGTGTCACGGTATGTCAGATGTGTCACAGTATGTCAGATGTGTCACGGTATGTCAGAAGTGTCACGGTATGCCAGGTGTGTCACGGTATGTCAGATGTCTCACGGTATGTCAGGTGTGTCCCAGTATAGCAAATGTGTCACATTATCAGAGATGTGTCACATTATGTCACATGTGTCAAGGCATGTCAGATATGTCACAGTATGTAAGATGTGTCACGGTATGTCAGAAGTGTCACGGTATGTAAGGTGTGTCACAGTATGTCAGATGTGTCACAGTATGTAAGATGTGTCACATTATGTCACATGCGTCACGGCATGTCAGATATGTCAGCGGATGTTAGATGTCTCACGGTATGTCAGAAGTGTCACGGTATGTCAGATGTGTCACGGTATGTCAGGTGTGTCCCAGTATATCAAATGTGTCACATTATTAGAGATGTATCACATTATGTCACATGCGTCACGGCATGTCAGATATATCAGCGGATGTAAGATGTCTCACGGTATGTCAGAAGTGTCACGGTTTGTAAGATGTGTCAGGGTATGTAAGATGTGTCACGGTATGTCAGGTGTGCCACAGTACGTCAGATGTGTCACGGTATGTCAGATGTATCATGGCATGTCAAGTGTGTCATGGTCTGTCCAGGTGTGTCATGGTATGTCAGATATGTCACAGTATGTAAGATGTGTCACGGTATGTCAGGTGCGCCATGGTATATGATGTGTACATGTAAGATGTGTCATGGTGGTATGTCAGATGTCAGGTATGTCAGATGTGTAACGGTATGGTATGGTCTGTCAGATGTGTCAACATGTCAGATGTGTAACGGTATGTCAGATGTGTAACGGTATGTCAGGTGTCATGGTCTGTCAGATGTGTCAGGTGTGTCATGGTCACGGTATGTGTCAGATGTGTCACAGGTATGTCAGATATGTCAGGTATGTCAGGGTGTGCCATGGTCTGTCAGTCATGTCAGATGTGTCACGGTCAGAAATGTCAGGTGTCACAGGTCAGATGCCATGGTCTGTCTGTGTGTGTCACGGTATGTCAGATGTCACGGTATGTCAGATGTGTCACGGTATGTCAGGCATGTCATGGTAGAAGTGTCACGGTATGTAAGGTGTGTCACAGTATGTCACAGTATGTCAGATGTGTCACGTCAGTATGTCAGGTGTGTAATGGCCATGGTATCAGATGTGTCATGGCATGTCAGATGTGTCACGGTATGTCAGATATGTCACAGTATGTCAGAGTATGTCAGATGCGTCACATTATGTGCCACGGTATGTCAGAATATGTCACAGTATCTCAGATGTGTCACGGTATGTCAGAAATGCCACGGTTTGTCAGATGTGTCACCTAATGTGAGATGTGTCACAGCATATCAAATGTGTCACAGTATGTCAGATGTCTCACGGCATGTCAGATGTGTCACGGTAAATCAGATGTGTCACAGTATGTAAGGTATGTCAAAGTATGTCAGATGTCAGATATGTCACATTATTTAAGATGTGTCACGGTATGTCAGCTATGCCACGGTATGTCAGATGTGTCACCTTATGTGAGATGTGTCACGGTATGTCAGGTGTGTCATGATGTGTCAAATGTGTCACGGTATGTCAGATATGTCTCAGGATTTCAGATGTGTCACAGTATCTGAGATATGTCATCTTATGTCAGATGTGTTACCTTTTGTCAGATGTGTCACAGTGTTTCAGATATGTCACATCAAGTCAGATGTGACACAGTACATCAGATGTTACAGTATGTCAGATGTGTCATGGTAGGAAAGATGTTTTAACAGTATGTCAGGTGTTTGACAGTATGTCAGATATGTCACAGTATGTCAAATATGTCACAGTATGTCAGATGTGTCACGGTATGTCAGATTGTCACGGTATGTCAGATATGTCACATTATGTCATGTGTCACGGTATGTGAGATATGCGACGGTATGTCAGATGTGTCACCTTATGTGGGATGTGTCACGGTATGTCAGGTCTGTCATGGTATGTCAGATGTGTCATGGTATATCAGATATGTCTCAGTATTTCAGATGTGTCACAGTATCTCAGGTGTGTCACCTTATGTCTGAGGTGTCACCTTATGTCAGATGTGTCACAGTGTGTCAGATATGTCACAGTGTGTCAGATATGTCACATCAAGTTAGGTGTGTCACAGTATGTCAGATGTGTCACAGTAGATCAGATCTCTCAGTATGTCAGATGTGTCATGGTATGCAAGATGTGTCAGAATATGTCAGATGTTTAACAGTATATCAGGTGTGTCACAGTATGTCAGATGTGTCACGGTATGTTAGATATGTCACAGTACGTTACATATGTCACATTATCTCAGATGTGTCACAGTATGTCAGACAAGATATTGTATGTCAGGTGTGTCACGGTATGTGAGATGTGTCACACCATGTCAGATGCGTCACGGTATATCAGATGTGTCACAGTATGCCAGATGTGTCATGGTATGTCAGCTATGTCACGGTATGTCAGATGTGTCACGGTATGTAAGATGTGTCACAATATCTCTGTTTTTTCACGGGATGTCATATGTGTCACGGTATGTCAGATGTGCCACAATATGTCAGACAGAATATTGTATTTGAATTGTAACATAGTATGTGAGTTATACCAAGATTTTAAGTTCAATGTGTAAGAACAAGATGAGAAGAGAGATGTAGGTCTTTGACAGGTGAACCATGCATCAAACCTTTGTATGGGGAGAGTCTCAGAATCGACGGATTCAGGACATTTTAGGTCCATAAACATGATGTCGGTATGTAAACGCTGAGCACGTTTGTGTCCTCACCTCCCGTATAATTTTGGATCCCGTGGAGCCGGTTGAGGATGTCGTCTAATTGAGGGCTGTGTTGTCCGTAGCGGGTCTGTAACAGTTTCAGCATACTGTATCATGAGAACAAAGACAATTACAACATGTCTGGGTGTAGGTCTAGGTACCAGAGACATTAGACTATAACACATCTGTAGCAAGGACGTTGTGCCGTTAAGTGTCTATAACAGAGACATTAGACTATAACGCATCTGTAGCAAGGACGTTGTGCCGTTAAGTGTCTATAACAGGGACATTAGACTGTAACGCATCTGTAGCAAGGACGTTGTGCCGTTAAGTGTCTATAACAGAGACATTAGACTATAACGCATCTGTAGCAAGGACGTTGTGCCGTTAAGTGTCTATAACAGGGATATTAGACTGTAACGCATCTGTAGCAAGGACGTTGTGCCGTTAAGTGTCTATAACAGAGACATTAGACTATAACGCATCTGTAGCAAGGACGTTGTGCCGTTAAGTGTCTATAACAGAGACATTAGACTATAACGCATCTGTAGCAAGGACGTTGTGCCGTTAAGTGTCTATAACAGAGACATTAGACTATAACGCATCTGTAGCAAGGACGTTGTGCCGTTAAGTGTCTATAACAGAGACATTAGACTATAACGCATCTGTAGCAAGGACGTTGTGCCGTTAAGTGTCTATAACAGAGACATTAGACTATAACGCATCTGTAGCAAGGACGTTGTGCCGTTAAGTGTCTATAACAGAGAAATTAGACTGTAACGCATCTGTAGCAAGGACGTTGTGCCGTTAAGTGTCTATAACAGAGACATTAGACTATAACGCATCTGTAGCAAGGACGTTGTGCCGTTAAGTGTCTATAACAGAGACATTAGACTATAACGCATCTGTAGCAAGGACGTTGTGCCGTTAAGTGTCTATAACAGAGACATTAGACTATAACGCATCTGTAGCAAGGACGTTGTGCCGTTAAAGTGTCTATAACAGAGACATTAGACTATAACGCATCTGTAGCAAGGACGTTGTGCCGTTAAGTGTCTATAACAGAGATATTAGACTATAACGCATCTGTAGCAAGGACGTTGTGCCGTTAAGTGTCTATAACAGAGACATTAGACTATAACGCATCTGTAGCAAGGACGTTGTGCCGTTAAGTGTCTATAACAGAGATATTAGACTGTAACGCATCTGTAGCAAGGACGTTGTGCCGTTAAGTGTCTGTAACAGAGACATTAGACTATAACGCATCTGTAGCAAGGACGTTGTGCCGTTAAGTGTCTATAACAGAGACATTAGACTATAACGCATCTGTAGCAAGGACGTTGTGCCGTTAAGTGTCTATAACAGAGACATTAGACTATAACGCATCTGTAGCAAGGACGTTGTGCCGTTAAGTGTCTATAACAGAGACATTAGACTATAACGCATCTGTAGCAAGGACGTTGTGCCGTTAAGTGTCTATAACAGAGATATTAGACTATAACGCATCTGTAGCAAGGACGTTGTGCCGTTAAGTGTCTATAACAGAGACATTAGACTATAACGCATCTGTAGCAAGGACGTTGTGCCGTTAAGTGTCTATAACAGAGATATTAGACTATAACGCATCTGTAGCAAGGACGTTGTGCCGTTAAGTGTCTATAACAGAGATATTAGACTATAACGCATCTGTAGCAAGGACGTTGTGCCGTTAAGTGTCTGTAACAGAGACATTAGACTATAACGCATCTGTAGCAAGGACGTTGTGCCGTTAAGTGTCTATAACAGAGACATTAGACTATAACGCATCTGTAGCAAGGACGTTGTGCCGTTAAGTGTCTATAACAGAGACATTAGACTATAACGCATCTGTAGCAAGGACGTTGTGCCGTTAAGTGTCTATAACAGAGACATTAGACTATAACGCATCTGTAGCAAGGACGTTGTGCCGTTAAGTGTCTATAACAGAGATATTAGACTATAACGCATCTGTAGCAAGGACGTTGTGCCGTTAAGTGTCTGTAACAGAGACATTAGACTATAACGCATCTGTAGCAAGGACGTTGTGCCGTTAAGTGTCTATAACAGAGACATTAGACTATAACGCATCTGTAGCAAGGACGTTGTGCCGTTAAGTGTCTATAACAGAGACATTAGACTATAACGCATCTGTAGCAAGGACGTTGTGCCGTTAAGTGTCTATAACAGAGACATTAGACTATAACGCATCTGTAGCAAGGACGTTGTGCCGTTAAGTGTCTATAACAGAGACATTAGACTATAACGCATCTGTAGCAAGGACGTTGTGCCGTTAAGTGTCTATAACAGAGACATTAGACTATAACGCATCTGTAGCAAGGACGTTGTGCCGTTAAGTGTCTAACAGAGATAAAGGACGTTGTGCCGTTAAGCGTCTGTAACAGAGATATTAGACTATAACGCATCTGTAGCAAGGACGTTGTGCCGTTAAGTGTCTGTAACAGAGATATTAGACTATAACGCATCTGTAGCAAGGACGTTGTGCCGTTAAGTGTCTATAACAGAGACATTAGACTATAACGCATCTGTAGCAAAGGACGTTGTGCCGTTAAGTGTCTATAACAGAGACATTAGACTATAACGCATCTGTAGCAAGGACGTTGTGCCGTTAAGTGTCTATAACAGAGATATTAGACTATAACGCATCTGTAGCAAAGGACGTTGTGCCGTTAAGTGTCTATAACAGAGACATTAGACTATAACGCATCTGTAGCAAGGACGTTGTGCCGTTAAGTGTCTATAACAGAGATATTAGACTGTAACGCATCTGTAGCAAGGACGTTGTGCCGTTAAGTGTCTGTAACAGAGACATTAGACTATAACGCATCTGTAGCAAGGACGTTGTGCCGTTAAGTGTCTGTAACAGAGATATTAGACTATAACGCATCTGTAGCAAGGACGTTGTGCCGTTAAGTGTCTGTAACAGAGACATTAGACTATAACGCATCTGTAGCAAGGACGTTGTGCCGTTAAGTGTCTGTAACAGGGAATCTTGACCTTCAAAAACAGGGAAATCTCTGTCACAGTGATCGAAACATGAAACAATTTAAGTGGTATCACTTGCCTCTTTCGTTCTTATTTCAGACGGATTAATCTGTTTTGAACGACATCTGACTATTACAAACCAGAAGCCTTATGGTCCCTCGGCCAGATTTCCAAGTTTCTATTTGGCCATTCCGAGTAGAATGCGTCCGATTCCTATGCCTAACGAAGGAGATCCTCCGTAGGAAGTACACACTGGGTACCATACTTCCGCAGATGCTTCAGGAAGTGTGGATTGACAGCCTAACAAACATCAAATGTACATGTTCTATTCCATTTAAATATTGATCCTCCAATAATATCTAGTGAAGGATTCGAGTTTCGCTGAAATTTCAGGGCAGGTTGATATAAGACATCTACATAGGCAATTTTCCAAAGTCTAAATATATCTTTCAGATTCTAAACTTATTGTTATGGAGAATGAGCATCAGGCCATGCTTGTTTATTCATTCTTTAATTTCGATGCAAGAATATTCCAACGAAATTTGTATTTTATTATATATGTTTTACATTTTTATGATATTTTTTGTGTTATGCATGTTTGCTCATATCTACCTAAAAGGTTACAAAGATACATAATATTGCATCATGCAGTTCATGATTTGTTAGTTGAAACGTACTTGTGAATATATTGATAGGTGGAGCTGTGTTCTCTCTGTTTTCAACCCGTGAAGATCCGGGTTGGTTGACACATGTCATCGTATCCCAATTGCGTGGATCGATGCTCATGCTGTTGATCACTGGATTAATATGTGTTTGGTCCAGCAGCGGTTACTTACAGACCGCCACCATATAGCTGGAATATTGCTGAGTGCGGCGTTACACAAACCAACTCTGTTTTCCTTGGGTAAAGGAAACGTAATACAGTTGCCTGGTTAAAGTCACACCATACAGTTTTCCCAGAAGTTACTGAGAACATCTGTGCTTCCTAATACTGATAATAGAATTGTAAAATAGGTGTTACATTATACAGTAAAGTACTAAATGTGGGTGGCAACTCTTGTAGGCTTAAGAATGAACCTTACTACATCAAGAGGTATCTCCCCTGGTGTAGAAGACGGCTTCCTTTGTTGACATGGCAGATTTGACTGCCGAAGAGCTGGCTAATTCTGGCTAATGCAAAAGAGTTAACTGGTAGAGATGACATTCCACTGTCTACAGTATACAGAAGTTTGAAGAATATTCAGTCAGGAGTTGGGACTGAGCACAAGACAGGGGCAGGGAGGCCATGGAAGTTCAGTACTATGGGTCGACTGTTGTGTGTACATTTAGTCTGGTAGGATGGGTACAGAATTCAAGTCCCGTGGAAGTTTTGTGATGAAAGCAAGACATTGTGTTTTTTGTATTCATCAGACATGCTAGTTAAATAAAAAGTTTGGTTCCAAGCTGAAATATGGTGCAAATAGTACTTTTGAGCACTGTACAAAGTGGTTGTGGAAAAGGTTGCTAAAAGATCAGAAGGTCATAATGGGAGAGTTGAATATTTAAAGTTTGAGGTTATTAACTTTATCCAAGTGTGTTTCTCTATTTCATGAAATATTTTATTAAAAGAAAACCCCAAAATATATTATTTTTAAATTAAAAAAAAAATTATAATGAACACTCCCTCTCTCAAAATGGCAGCTAGCAGACGAATTTAAGCAGATGTAGGTTTTGTGCATTTTGTAAGTACATGTATATGATTGCTTCATTTTATCAACTCAATGTAAATCAAGTTATTAAAGAACAGTTATGTATGAAACAAAAAAGAGAAGTTTATTTTTGTTTGGTGAGACTGTCAGTAAGGGAGCAGTCCTTATTTCAAAATGTAGTATGTCAATATCAGATTATGATTTATCAATTTCTTATTATTTTGCTTGAAGTTTTTCTTCTAAAAGCAGAGTTCTTTGAAAATAGATAAGAATATAATGAAATGGTGGGGAGAAAACACTATTTTCTGCTTGACACTCTCTCAATTAAATCCCTTGAAATAATTTTCAAGTCATCAGATCGAATAACTTTCTAAAATGGTTATAATCTTTGAAAAAAACATATACAAATAGATGTGGGGAGAATTTTTTTTATCAGCAGGATAGGAGAAGACACGGTGTCCATATTTAGCTTGTTTGACTTTGGGGATAACAAGAAGGTGTTGATTCCCTGATCTGAGAGATCTAGATGGTGCATAAGCCTGAAGAAGATCTGAGAGTTAGACTGGAGCCGTGTTAGTCATGCACTGGTATGCGAGACAGCATAGTTTGAAGGAGATTCTTTGTTTCACTGGCAGCCAATGAAGGTCCTTTAGAGTTGGTGTGATGTGCTTTTTTCTGGTGATCTGGGAGGTAATGCAAGCAGCTAAATTCTGTATGCATTGGAGTTGGTCAGTGACACAAGATGGAGATCCGGCCAAAAGGCTGTTACAGTAGTCCATATGAGATGTGACTAGGTTGAGGCAGATAGTTTTTGAGGCATCTTTGGTAAGAACGGTCTGGCCTTTGATAATTGTGGAGATGGGAGTAGCAAGTTTTAGTAACATATTTGACGTGTTCCGTCATACTTAGATCTTGATCGATGACAACATCCAGATCGTTGACAGTGTAAGAAAGAGGAATGGTTGCTCCACAGACACACACACTAGTAATGTCACACTAGTAATGCTTGCGTTTTCCAGCCTGTCCCAAAAGAATGGACTCTGTTTTCTCTTAATTTAATTTCAAGGCATTTGATGACATCCATGAATATCTTCTGGCAACAGTCTGATGTCTGACAGAGGGACGCTCTATAGCTGACTCTGTGTTTGGTTGAAATAACTTCCACAGTTGCGTGTCATCTGCGTAGAAGTGGTCAAGATTAAGGTTTGCTACAAAAAGCCTAGTGGAACAGTGTAGAGGGTGAAGATGATCGGACCAAGCACGGATCCTTGAGGGACTCCGCACTCAAGCCTAGATGCGGTTGACACAGACTCACCAACAACAACGGTTTGAGTCCTGTCCTGTAGATAAGATGCCAGCCAGGATAAAGCTAAATCCAAGTTCTGTATCAAGTCTTTTGAGGAGTCTCTGGTGATCAGTCGTGTCAAAGCACTGCTTAGGCCAAGTAATGTGAGCAGGGCCACTTGTTCTGTGCCAATACCACATTGTAGGTCATTCGGGATCTTCAGCAGGGCCAGCTATGTGCTGTGGTGTGCTCTGCAGGCTGATAGGAACACCTCATAGAGGTTATGCCAGGAAAGGTGGCCCATGAGACGACTGGAGACTGCACGTTCAATGAGTTTGGAATTATATGCTAAGTTTGAAACAGGCCTGTAGTTTTTTGGATCCTCCTAATCAAGGCTTGATTTCTTCAGATGTGGCCTAATTAGAGCTGACTTGAGTACACTTGGGGCATAACCAGATGAAGTAGAAGAGTTAATAATCAGCACTAATGTTGGTAAATATCAGTGAAACTATCAATATGAGTAAGAGGCGTGCCATCAAACATTTTGGGAGGAATATCAGCTTCATCCATAGCCGCAGAAGACGAAATCTTGTCATGAATGTGCTTGGATCTTTTTGTAGAAATAATCCGAAAATGTCTGTGCTATTACTTCATTGTCATCAGATGCCGGAAGTGTCTATTCAAAGTGTTTACTCAAGATACTGGACAAAAGTTTGGACAGCAACTTTAGACTTTACTCGTTGGCTTCAATCTTAGAATTGAGATGTTGATTTGTCTGATGACCGTTGTTGAGTGATTTTTGGCTGAAATATGCATTTGGAGATGAATCTCCAGGAAAGATTGTTTTCCATTTGCGTTCCGCTTTCCTCTTGTCTTTTTTCACTTGTCGAACTTCAGGTGTGAAGTCCCAAGCAGATGTTTTAGTGACTGGTATGACTCTGTCCTTCACTGGTGCATGTTTGTCTATATAGCAGCTCAGATAGAACTCTATTGTATAGCAGAACTAGACTCTCAGCGTCAGATGGTGGCTCAAGTATAAGGTCTCAGTTTAGCAAATTGTCTAACTATCCATATCCAGGGAGCGCATGTTCCTACAGCGAGTAATCTTCACATTTGGACTGGGTATTGAGAGGTCCAAGCTCACAAATATATGGCAATGGTCAGAGAGCTGTAGATCCTATACAGGTGCACAACTGATACACGCGTCTGAATCACGGGTAACTATCCAGTCCAGAGTGTGTCCACCTCTGTGGCTTGCCTCTGACACGAGTTGTACACAGTTGTGGACTACAAGAAGATTAAGTATTCGTTTAGTGTCATGGTTATCCTTGTTGTCAAAATAGAAATTGAAGTCGCCTACGATGATAATAGCTACTTCGTCGACTTATCCAGTCTGTGCCGAGACGGTGCCGAGCAGTAATTGCTGCCAATGGTGGCCATTTTACCATTGGGATTACATGAAATAATAGCTCTTAAACTAATGCAAGAAATTCTTCTAAAAAATGGCTTGTGCGTTTCTATTTTTGAAGAGTATATTTCTGGGTCGCAGTTTCATGTAAAGACCTCTTCTATAGTTTATAAACAGGGTGAAAAGTATATTCCTTTTTCATATTGTACTAGTTCTATACAAAATATATGCCTTGTGAAGAAACGGGGTTTTTATTCATCATTAAAACTTTCAGAGCTAAAAATGACTCTTTAATGAAAATTTAAGACTAAAATCAAACTAAAAAGATCTGGTGACTTACAGCATATGAGAAATATATTCTGTAACCAAATATGCAAGGTATTTGATATTAAAACTATTGTTTTGTTCTGAGTTTTGCAACTTTTTCAGTTCCCGGTTAAATTTTGGCGGCCATCTTGGATTTTGAGCTAAAAATAGCTTTCGCATCAATATTCAGATTGGAACCAAACATTTTTTTAAACTCCTTTAACATATAAACACAAAAGAATATATGATTTGCTTTCATCAAAAAACTTTCACGGAATCCCATAAGCTCCTTGACTAATTACTGAAAATCGTTGAGAATATCAGAAATGAGATGATAGATGAAGTCCTCAGGTATGTATTGAAACCTTAGACAAGAGTTACAAAGACTTAACTGGGTGAAAGAGCGTGGAATTCAATCATTATTGGTGAAAGATGCACAAAAGGAAAGACGTTTAAACTGGTGTAGGGCTTAAGAAAATCAAGATTGGGATAATGTTGTCTTTTCTGATGAAAGTTCTGTCTGGCTTTTTCCGAACTGTGTGATAATTTGGACAAAAGATACCGTGAAACCTGTCTACCAACGCCCAAAACATAGCCCGACATTTCATATGTGGGGTGGGATAGCATCACGTGGAGGGACGCCGTTGTGTATTTTCACTGGAAGGAACGATATGTTGACATCTTCAATGATCACCTCCTTCCAACGGCGCGAACACTGAATGGAGATAATTGGAATTTCCAGCATGATAACGACCCAAAACACACTGCAGGCTACACACTGCGGCCCGCTGGCTACACACTGCTGGCTACACACTGCGGGCTACACACTGCTGGCTGCACACTGCTGGCTGCACACTGCGGGCTGCACACTGCGGGCTACACACTGCTGGCTGCACAAAACAGTGGCTGTTGGAAAATGTTCATACTGACCCAGCTTCAGCCCAGATTTTAACCCTGTTGAGAATATGTGGGGACTAATGAAGAACAGAATAAACCAAAAGCGACTTAGAAATATTGAGAATATGAAGAAATAAGTGGCCGAATATTGGGATACGCTGTCACACGATTTACACAAACTTTGATCGGTAGTGCATTCAGTCGTGTATTTCAGGGCAAGGAGGTCTCACAAGGTACAAGGCGCGTGCCGGTTGATGGCTGATGAAAGATGGCATGGGGATGGAGTGGGGTAGTTGCTGGAGAGTGATCAGGGTCGGTGATTGATAACTGGTTGAGTCACCCCACCGATAAAAGGTGGTTGACAGTTGTTGACATTCGAGTTGTTGACACAGACAATTACTTACAGATAAAAAGACTGCAACGACCGCTTGTCCGGCCACGCTGCCACTGCCTTTGCCTCCTTCGCGTTCATTGATGAGGTGCATCTGAAGAAGAGAGGAGGGCAGATAACTGTCTGACACAGAAACTAGATCATACATATATGGAACAGATGTATCCAGGTAAGTCAGATACCTGTCTGACACAGAAACAAGTTCATACATATATGGAACAGGTGTATCCAGGTAAGTCAGATACCTGTCTGACACAGAAACTAGATCATACATATATGGAACAGGTGTATCCAGGTAAGCCAGATACCTGTCTGACACAGAAACCAGATCATACATATATGGAACAGGTGTATCCATGTAAGTCAGATACCTGTCTGACACAGAAACTAGATCATACATATATGGAACAGGTGTATCCATGTAAGTCAGATACCTGTCTGACACAGAAACTAGTTCAGACATATATGGAACAGATGTATCAAGGTAAGTCAGATACCTATCTGACACAGAAACTAGATCATACATATATGGAACAGGTGTATCCAGGTAAGCCAGATAACTGACACAGAAACTAGATCATACATATATGGAACAGGTGTATCCATGTAAGTCAGATACCTGTCTGACACAGAAACAAGATCATACATATATGGAACAGAAGTATCAAGGTAAGTCAGATACCTGTCTGACACAGAAACTAGATCATACATATATGGAACAGTTGTATCAAGGTAAGTCAGATAACTGACACAGAAAATAGATCATACATATATGGAACAGATGTATCAAGGTAAGTCAGATACCTGTCTGACACAGAAACTAGATCGTACATATATGGAACAGGTGTATCCAGGTAAGCCAGATAACTGACACAGAAACTAGATCATACATATATGGAACAGGTGTATCCGGGTAAGTCAGATACCTGACACAGAAACTAGATCATGCATATATGGAACAGGTGTATCCAGGTAAGTCAGATACCTGTCTGACACAGAAACTAGATCATACATATATGGAACAGGTGTATCCAGGTAAGCCAGATAACTGACACAGAAACTAGATCATACATATATGGAACAGGTGTATCAAGGTAAGTCAGATACCTGTCTGACACAGAAACTAGATCATACATATATGGAACAGATGTATCCAGGTAAGTCAGATACCTGTCTGACACAGAAACAAGTTCATACATATATGGAACAGGTGTATCCAGGTAAGCCAGATAACTGACACAGAAACTAGATCATACATATATGGAACAGGTGTATCCAGGTAAGTCAGATACCTGTCTGACACAGAAACTAGATCATACATATATGGAACAGGTGTATCCAGGTAAGCCAGATACCTGTCTGACACAGAAACCAGATCATACATATATGGAACAGGTGTATCCATGTAAGTCAGATACCTGTCTGACACAGAAACTAGATCATACATATATGGAACAGGTGTATCCAGGTAAGTCAGATACCTGTCTGACACAGAAACTAGATCATACATATATGGAACAGGTGTATCCAGGTAAGCCAGATACCTGTCTGACACAGAAACCAGATCATACATATATGGAACAGGTGTATCCATGTAAGTCAGATACCTGTCTGACACAGAAACTAGATCATACATATATGGAACAGGTGTATCCATGTAAGTCAGATACCTGTCTGACACAGAAACTAGTTCAGACATATATGGAACAGATGTATCAAGGTAAGTCAGATACCTATCTGACACAGAAACTAGATCATACATATATGGAACAGGTGTATCCAGGTAAGCCAGATAACTGACACAGAAACTAGATCATACATATATGGAACAGGTGTATCCATGTAAGTCAGATACCTGTCTGACACAGAAACAAGATCATACATATATGGAACAGAAGTATCAAGGTAAGTCAGATACCTGTCTGACACAGAAACTAGATCATACATATATGGAACAGTTGTATCAAGGTAAGTCAGATAACTGACACAGAAAATAGATCATACATATATGGAACAGATGTATCAAGGTAAGTCAGATACCTGTCTGACACAGAAACTAGATCGTACATATATGGAACAGGTGTATCCAGGTAAGCCAGATAACTGACACAGAAACTAGATCATACATATATGGAACAGGTGTATCCGGGTAAGTCAGATACCTGACACAGAAACTAGATCATGCATATATGGAACAGGTGTATCCAGGTAAGTCAGATACCTGTCTGACACAGAAACTAGATCATACATATATGGAACAGGTGTATCCAGGTAAGCCAGATAACTGACACAGAAACTAGATCATACATATATGGAACAGGTGTATCAAGGTAAGTCAGATACCTGTCTGACACAGAAACTAGATCATACATATATGGAACAGATGTATCCAGGTAAGTCAGATACCTGTCTGACACAGAAACAAGTTCATACATATATGGAACAGGTGTATCCAGGTAAGCCAGATAACTGACACAGAAACTAGATCATACATATATGGAACAGGTGTATCCAGGTAAGTCAGATAACTGACACAGAAACTAGATCATACATATATGGAACAGGTGTATCCAGGTAAGTCAGATACCTGTCTGACACAGAAACTAGATCATACATATATGGAACAGATGTATCCATGTAAGTCAGAAAACCGAAGGAGATTTCATATTATTATGTGTTGGACAGGAGTATGTAGGGCAGAGGGCTGGTGGGATAACTGTCTGTCACAGATACTAGGTCAAGATTACATATAATGAACAGGTCCATGCAGGTAGGATACATCTGAGAAATGACCAGACATGACTTTCGGACGCAACCAGATTATTGTGTAGGCACTTAGAGAGAAGGAAACTAACGATTCCATAACCGTTAAGCAGTGACTGACAACAGTACTGACAACAATCGCTGCCTTATCTCAGGCCAGGCCAAACCGCTCGGGTGTATAAGGTGACCGGGATTAAAACTATATATATGATGCTTCTTACTATGGCCGTGTGTTGAGGACACTGAGTTGGGGGATTAACGTCACCGTACTCAGATAGCTGGAACACTGAGTTGGTGGATTAACGTCACCGTACTCAGATAGCTAGAACACTGAGTTGGTGGATTAACGTCACCGTACTCAGATAGCTGGAACACTGACTTTGTGGATTAACGTCACCGTACTCAGATAGCTGGAACACTGAGCTGGTGGAATAACGTCACCGTATTCAGATAGCTGGAACACTGAGTTGGTGGATTAACGTCACCGTACTCAGATAGCTGGAACACTGAGTTGGTGGATTAACGCCACCGTACTCAGATAGCTGGAACACTGAGTTGGTGGATTAACGTCACCGTACTCAGATAGCTGGAACACTGAGTTGGTGGAATAACGTCACCGTACCCAGATAGCTGGAACACTGAGCTGGTGGATTATAATCACCGTACTCAGATAGCTGGAACACTGAGTTGGTGGATTAACGTCACCTTACTCAGATAGCTGGAACGCTGAATTGGTGGATTAACGTCACCGTACTCAGATAGCTGGAACACTGAGTTGGTGGATTAACGTCACCGTACTCAGATAGCTGGAACACTGACTTGGTGGAATAACGTCACCGTACTCAGATAGCTGGAGCACTGAGTTGGTGGATTAACGGCACCGTACTCAGATAGCTGGACCACTGAGTTGGTGGAATAACGTCACCGTACTCAGATAGCTGGAACACTGAGCTGGTGGATTATAATCACCATACTCAGATAACTGGAACAGTGAGTTGGTGGATTAACGTCACCGTACTCAGATAGCTGGACCACTGAGTTGGTGGAATAAAGTCACCGTACTCAGATAGCTGGAACAGTGAGCTGGTGGATTATTATCACCGTACTCAGATAGCTGGAACAGTGAGTTGGTGGATTAATGCCACCGTACTCAGATAGCTGGAACACTGAGTTGGTGGAATAACGTCACCGTACCCAGATAGCTGGAACACTGAGCTGGTGGATTATAATCACCGTACTCAGATAGCTGGAACAGTGAGTTGGTGGATTAACGTCACCGTACTCAGATAGCTGGAACACTGAGTTGGTGGATTATAATCACCGTACTCAGATAGCTGGAACACTGAGTTGGTGGATTAACGTCACCGTACTCAGATAGCTGGAACACTGAGTTGGTGGAATAACGTCACCGTACTCAGATAGCTGGAACACTGAGTTGGTGGATTAACGTCACCGTACTCAGATAGCTGGACCACTGAGTTGGTGGAATAACGTCACCGTACTCAGATAGCTGGAACACTGAGCTGGTGGATTATAATCACCGTACTCAGATAACTGGAACAGTGAGTTGGTGGATTAACGTCACCGTACTCAGATAGCTGGAACCACCGAGTTGGTGGAATTAACGTCACCGTACTCAGATAGCTGGAACAGTGAGCTGGTGGTGAGTTGTTGGATTATCACCGTACTCCAGATAGCTGGAACAGTGAGTTGGGGGATTAACGCCACCGTACCCAGGTTCAGAGTAGCTGGAAACACCGTGAGTTGGTGGATTAACGTCACCGTACCCAGATAACTGGAACAGTGAGTTGGTGGATTAACGTCACCGTACTCAGATAGCTGGAACAGTGAGTTGGTGGATTAACGCCACCGTACTCAGATAGCTGGAACACTGAGTTGGTGGATTAACGTCACCGTACCCAGATAGCTGGAACAGTGAGTTGGTGGATTAACGTCACCGTACCCAGATAGCTGGAACACTGAGCTGGTGGATTATAATCACCGTTACTCAGATAGTGAGTTGGTGGATTAACGTCACCGTACTCAGATAGCTGGAACACTGAGTTGGTGGATTAACGTCACCGTACCCAGATAGCTGGAACACTGAGTTGGTGGATTAACGTCACCGTACTCAGATAGCTGGAACACTGAGTTGGTGGATTAACGTCACCGTACTCCCAGATAGCTGGAACACTGAGTTGGTGGAATAACCGTACTCAGATAGCTGGAACACTGAGCTGGTGGATTAACGTCACCATACTCAGATAGCTGGAACAGAGCTGGTGGATTATAATCACTGCTGAACCACTGAGTTGGTGGAATAACGTCACCGTACTCAGATAGCTGGAACACTGAGCTGGTGGATTAACGTCACCGTACTCAGATAGCTGGTGGTTGGTGGATTAATCACCGTACTCAGAAAGCTGAGAGTTGGTGGAATAACGTCACCTTACTCAGAGGCTGGAACACTGAGCTGGTGGATAATACCGTACTCAGATAGCTGGAACACTGAGCTGGTGGATTATAATCACCGTACTCAGATAGCTGGAACACTGAGTTGGTGGATTAACGTCACCGTACCCAGATAGCTGGAACACTGAGTTGGTGGATTAACGTCACCATACTCAGATAGCTGGAACACTGAGTTGGTGGAATAACGTCACCGTACCCAGATAGCTGGAACAGTGAGTTGTTGGATTAACGTCTCCGTACCCAGATAGCTGGAACAGTGAGTTGGTGGATTAACGCCACCGTTTTCAGGTAGCTGGAACAGTGAGTTGGTGGATTAACGTCACCGTACTCAGATAGCTGGAACACTGAGTTGGTGGATTAACGTCACCGTACTCAGATAGCTGGAACACTGAGTTGGTGGATTAACGTCACCGTACTCAGATAGCTGAACCACTGAGTTGGTGGAATAACGTCACCGTACTCAGATAGCTGGAACACTGAGCTGGTGGATTATAATCACCGTACTCAGATAGCTGGAACATTGAGTTGGTGGATTAACGTCACCGTACCCAGATAGCTGGAACACTGAGTTGGTGGAATAACGTCACCGTACTCAGATAGCTGGAACAGTGAGTTGGTGGATGAACGTCACCGTACTCAGATAGCTGGAACACTGAGCTGGTGGATTAACGTGTCCATACCCAGATAACTGGAACATTGAGTTGGTGGATTAACGTCACCGTACTCAGATAGCTGGAACATTTCCCATGACTTGATCATGTATTCACAGGCCGCCAAGGTATAGATTTTATTATTTCCTATTCCGAGCAACTGTCATTCACAATCTAAAACATCTGTTATATTTGGGATTACATTTTTTTAGTAAAGTACTGATTCTAGTACTTTTGTTGGATTGAGTCCCATCCCGGATTCGAACCCACACCATCAGAGTCAGGCACGTAATAGCCAGCACACAAAGTCAGCCGCCTAACCCGCTCAGCCACTGCGACTTCCACAACTCCCGGATGGGACTCAACCCAGCAATCTGTTTACTAAGAAAGTGTAATCCCAAATTTGACCACTTTCTGAAAATTGCATTGTGTAATTATTCACAATCTCGTTCAAAGTAATCCTCCTTATCTTTCAAGATTTCTGTGACGTAAGAGCCGCGTAAGCGGGTATGCTGGGTTTACCTCGCCATCATATCGTTTTCCATTCACTCTGTTCTCAGTGCCGTGGCGAGCTCCGGCCCCGCCCACGTGGATGTGCATGCTGCTAAACATGAACCTGCAGTCAGTGTAGCCGGGCACTCCTTGCAGCACGGCGCTGGCCATGTCATAGCCGGCGATGTTTGGATAGTACCCTGAAGGAACATCATTCTCGGTCAAACATTATTGTTATTTGAACTCAACAAATATAGCTATGTGTGTCAGTTGCGCGGAGGACATGGACTCGATATGCTACACACCCACACACCCACGCACGCACACACGCACCCACGCACACCCACATACATATACATACATACATACATACATACATACATACATACATACATACATACATACATACATACATACATACATACATACATACATACATACATACATACATACATACATACATACATGCGTACGTACATGCGTGCGTGCGTGCGTGCGTGCGTGCGTGCGTGCGTGCGTGCGTGCGTGCGTGCGTATGTATGTATGTATGTATGTATGTATGTATGTATGTATGTATGTATGTATGCATGGTATGTGTGGAGACGAAGGCATGTAAGTATGTATGTGGAGATGAAGGCATGTAAGTATGTATGTAGAGGTTTAGGTGAGATGTTGCAAGAATGTTCCGGGTCTATAAGGAGGGCACTCTCACCGTCGTTTTCCAGCAGGCCGGTGACCACGTGACTAGGGGGATAGCCAAGGCGGTGGTATGGGTCACAGAAGTACTTGACCAGTTTGGGGTAGATGAGCACAGGGGACTGATTGGAGCCACCGAAACATGGAGAAGTGTCGCACACCAGGTCCCAGTTGTCAGGACCTCCGTCAGTTATCAAATATGAAGACAATACGGACACCAGGTCCCAGTCGTCAGGTCCTGTAATATGAAGACAATACGGACACCAGGTCCCAGTAGTCAGGTCCTGTAATATGAAGACGATACGGACACCAGGTCCCAGTCGTCAGGTCCTGCAATATGAAGACAATACGGACACCAGGTCCCAGTCGTCAGGTCCTGTAATATGAAGACGATACGGACACCAGGTCCCAGTCGTCAGGTCCTGCAATATGAAGACAATACGGACACGAGGTCCCAGTTGTCACAACTGTAGCATCAGTCCAGTGTTGCTACACTCAGAGAACTGTAGCATCAGTCCAGTGTTGCTACACTCAGACGACTGTAGCATCAGTCCAGTGTTGCTACACTCAGACAACTGTAGAATCAGTCCAGTGTTGCTGCACTCAGACAACTATAGCATCAGTCCAGTGCTGCTTCACTCAGACAACTGTAGTATCAGTCCCAGTGTTGCTGCACTCAGACAACTATAGCATCCAGTCTAGTCAGCTGCTACATTCAGACAACTATAAGACAATCAGTCCAGTGTTGCTACACTCAGACAACTGTAGCATCAGTACAGTGTTGCTACACTCAGACAACTGTAGCATCAGTCCAGTGTTGCTACACTCAGACGACTGTAGTATCAGTCCAGTGTTGCTGCACTCAGACAACTGTAGCATCAGTCCAGTGCTGCTACACTCAGACAACTGTAGCATCAGTCCAGTGTTGCTACACTCAGACAACTGTAGCATCAGTCCAGTGTTGCTACACTCAGACAACTGTAGCATCAGTCCAGTGCTGCTACACTCAGACAACTGTAGCATCAGTCCAGTGCTGCTACACTCAGACGACTGTAGCATCAGTCCAGTGTTGCTACACTCAGACAACTATAGAATCAGTCCAGTGTTGCTACACTCAGACAACTATAGCATCAGTCCAGTGCTGCTACACTCAGACAACTGTAGCATCAGTCCAGTGTTGCTACACTCAGACAACTGTAGCATCAGTCCAGTGTTGCTGCACTCAGACAACTATAGCATCAGTCCAGTGTTGCTACACTCAGACAACTATAGCATCAGTCCAGTGTTGCTACACTCAGACAACTGTAGCATCAGTCCAGTGTTGCTACACTCAGACGACTGTAGTATCAGTCCAGTGTTGCTGCACTCAGACAACTATAGCATCAGTCCAGTGCTGCTACACTCAGACAACTGTAGCATTAGTCCAGTGTTGCTACACTCAGACAACTGTAGCATTAGTCCAGTGTTGCTACACTCAGACAACTATAGCATCAGTCCAGTGCTGCTACACTCAGACAACTGTAGCATCAGTCCAGTGCTGCTACACTCAGACGACTGTAGCATCAGTCCAGTGCTGCTACACTCAGACAACTATAGCATCAGTCCAGTGTTGCTACACTCAAACAACTATAGCATCAGTCCAGTGCTGCTACACTCAGACAACCGTAATATCAGTCCAGTTCTGCTGCATTCAGACAACTATAGCATCAGTCCAGTGCTGCTACACTCAGACAACTATAGCATCAGTACAGTGTTGCTACACTCAGAGAACTGTAGCATCAGTCCAGTGTTGCTACACTCAGACAACTGTAGTATCAGTCCAGTGTTGCTGCACTCAGACAACTATAGCATCAGTCCAGTGTTGCTACACTCAGACAACTGTAGGATCAATCCAGTGTTGCTACACTCAGACAACTATGGCATCAGTCCAGTGTTGCTACACTCAGACAACTGTAGCATCAGTCCAGTGTTGCTACACTCAGACAACTGTAGTATCAGTCCAGTGTTGCTGCACTCAGACAACTATAGCATCAGTCCAGTGCTGCTACACTCAGACAACTATAGCATCAGTCCAGTGTTGCTACACTCAGACAACTGTAGCATCAGTCCAGTGTTGCTACACTCAGACAACTGTAGCATCAGTCCAGTGTTGCTACACTCAGACAACTGTAGTATCAGTCCAGTGTTGCTGCACTCAGACAACTATAGCATCAGTCCAGTGTTGCTACACTCAGACAACTGTAGCATCAATCCAGTGTTGCTACACTCAGACAACTGTAGCATCAGTCCAGTGTTGCTACACTCAGACAACTGTAGCATCAGTCCAGTGTTGCTACACTCAGACAACTGTAGCATCAGTCCAGTGTTGCTGCACTCAGACAACTGTAGCATCAGTCCAGTGTGCTTTGCTCACACTCGGAGACAACTATATAGCATCAGTCCAGTGTTGCTGCTACACTCAGACAACTGTAGCATCAGTCCAGTGTTGCTACACTCAGACAACTGTAGCATCAGTCCAGTGTTGCTACACTCAGACAACTGTAGTATCAGTCCAGTGTTGCTGCACTCAGACAACTATAGCATCAGTCCAGTGTTGCTACACTCAGACAACTGTAGCATCAGTCCAGTGTTGCTACACTCAGACAACTATAGCATCAGTCCAGTGTTGCTACACTCCAGATCAGTCCAGTGCTGCTACACTCAGCATCAGTCCAGTGTTGCTACACTCAGACAACTGTAGTATCAGTCCAGTGTTGCTGCACTCAGACAACTATAGCATCAGTCCAGTGTTGCTACACTCAGACAACTATAGCATCAGTCCAGTGCTGCTACACTGTGACAACTGTAGCATCAGTCCAGTGCTGCTACACTCGTAGACAAACTCGTAGCATCAGTCCAGTGCTGCTACACTCAGACAACTGTAGCATCAGTCCAGTGCTGCTGCACTCAGACAACTGTAGCATCAGTCCAGTGTTGCTACACTCAGACAACTGCAGCATCAGTCCAGTGTTGCTACACTCCAGACAACTGTAGCATCAGTCCAGTGCTGCTACACTCAGACAACTGTAGCATCAGTCCAGTGTTGCTGCACTCAGACAACTGTAGCATCAGTCCAGTGTTGCTACACTCAGACAACTGTAGTATCAGTCCAGTGTTGCTGCACTCCAGACAACTGCAGCATCAGTCCAGTGTTGCTACACTCGCGACAACCGTAGCATCAGTCCAGTGTTGGCTACACTCCAGACAACTATAGCATCAGTCCAGTGTTGCTGCACTCAGACAACTGTAGCATCAGTCCAGTGCTGCTACACTCCAGACAACTTCTAGCATCAGTCCAGTGCTGCACACTCAGTGTGTGCTATCACCGCCTCACGACAACTGTAGCATCAGTCCAGTGTTGCTACACTCAGACAACCGTAGCATCAGTCAGTGCTGCTACACCCAGACAACTGTAGCATTAGTCCAGTGTTGCTACACTCAGACAACTGTAGCATCAGTCCAGTGTTGCTACACTCAGACAACTCGTAGCATCAGTCCAGTGTTGCTACACTCAGACAACTGTAGCATCAGTCCAGTGCTGCTGCACTCGAGACAAACTATAGCATCAGTCCAGTGTTGCTACACTCAGACAACTATAGCATCAGTCAGTGTTGCTACACTCCAGCGACAACTGTAAAGCATCAGTCCAGTGTTGCTACACTCCAGACAACTGCAGCAGCATCAGTCCAGTGTTGCTACACTCAGACAACTGTAGGATCAGTCCAGTGTTGCTACACTCGAACAACTGTAGCATCAGTCCAGTGTTGCTACACTCGGGCAACTACCAGCATCAGTCCAGTGTTGCTACACTCAGACAACTGTAGTATCGGTCAGTGTTGCTTAACTCTCAGACAACTGTAGCATCAGTCCAGTGCTGCTACACTCAGACAACTGTAGCATCAGGTCCAGTGTTGCTACACTCAGACGAAACTATGTAGCATCGGTCCAGTGTTGCTACACTCAGACAACTGTAGCATCAGTCCAGTGTTGCTACACTCAGACCGTGCTGCACAACAGCATTAGTCCAGTATTTCTGCACTCGAACCCAGCTGTAGCATCACACTCAGACACTCAGACAGCATCAGTCCAGTGTTGCTACACTCAGACAACTGTAGCATCAGTCCGGTGTTGCTACACTCAGACAACTGTAGCATCAGTCCAGTGTTGCTACACTCCAGACAACTATAGCATCAGTCCAGTGTTGCTGCTACTCAGACAACTGTAGCATCAGTCCAGTGTTGCTACACTCAAGACAACTGGCATGGTGCCCAGCATCAGTCCAGTGCTGCTACACTCAGACAACTGTAGCATCAGTGGTCAGTGTTGCTGCTGCTCCAGACAACTGTAGCATCAACTGCTCCAGCATCAGTCCAGTGTTGCTACACTCAGACAACTTCTTAGCATCAGTCCAGTGTTGCCGTAGCACTCAGACAACCTCCAGACAACTGTAGCATCGTGTCCAGTGTTGCTGCACTCAGACAACTATAGCATCAGTCCAGTGTTGCTACACTCCAGACAACTGTAGTAGCATCAATCCGGTGTTGCTACACTAAGCATCGGTACGAGTGGCTGTACTCAGTCCAGTGTTGCTACACACTGCAGACAACCGTAGCATCAGTCCAGTGTTGCTACACTCAGACAACTGTAGTATCAGTCAGTGTTGCTGCACTCGACAACTATAGCATCGGTCCGGTGCTGCTACACTCGAGACAACTATATAGGATCAGTCCAGTGTTGCTACACTCCGAACAACCGTGTTATCGGTCCAGTGTTTGCTACACTCAGACAACTGTAGCATCCAGTCCAGTGTTGCTACACTCTCCGAGACAACTGTAGCATCAGTCCAGTGTTGCTCGAACAACTCCAGCATCACTCCAGTGTTGGTGGTCAGACATCAGTAGCAGCGTGTCCGGTGTTCGCTGGCACTCAGACAACTGTAGCATCAATCCAGTGGTGCTACACTCAGACAACTGTAGCATCAGGGCCAGTGTTGCTACATCAGACGACTATAGCATCAGTCCAGTGCTGCTACACTCCAGACAACCTGTACTCAGTCCAGTGTTGCTACACTCGTATCAACTGCCAGCATCAGTCCAGTGTTGCTGCACTCAGACAACTGTAGCATCAGTCCAGTGTTGCTAC